CTAAAGACAGTAAATATCCAGCAAAGTAATAACTTTTTTGATGTACTCTTTATGTATATGTTAATGTTACATTTGCTTATATAATCAACATATTATTTGAAAAATACAGATCATGTAAGTTAAAGTTGTTATACCCTCTGCGTTTACAATATACGCTTCTGTAAAATTGTAGGAAGGGTATGTATCAGGTTTCTCCAGGTAGAGACACATGGGACACGAGATACATGAGGTACTGATCTAAGTACACGTTTGTGAGATGTGGACTATGGCTCAAATATGTTGTGGAATGAGAAGGTGAAAAATGGAGGACATAGTTGATATGTTAGCTTTTTTGATAAGCTTGACAAGCATGATTACAGGATTGCATATTTCATTCTTCATTTCATAGTTGGCTTATGTTTGGGAATGAAGTTTAAGCATTTAGTTCATAATTATACTATTTCTGCTCTTTTAGGGGCAGAAGCTAAGTTAGAATAGTGGGACAACATGATAGGGCAAAAACAGTTAAAGAGGTTTCTTCTTTGTTGGACATGACGAAGTCCTCCAAACTTCACCGTAGCAATAAAAACACAGAAAATGACAATTGGAACCTTAAAAGGACTTGTCACATGGATGAAATGGCATGAATTTGAGAAAGACTTGAAAGTCCAGAAGAGGGCGGTATAAACATTTTTTTTCAATCTGCCGTGAAATATCTCAAAAGAAGAAGAGCCGTCCGGAAGCGAATTTGTTTACAGGCTGCTCAGATGCGGGTATGGCACGAAATGTGCTCAGGTGTTGCTATTGTCATCATCTGCTTTAAATTCTTTGTGCAATGCTGTGTTTATCAGTATTATTATTTCTTTTTCTGCTTAGTCAATAGTCAGATACCAAAGTCAAACACGTCAAAAGGAGTTTACTTCACATTAGCTCAGTGTAGCAACAAGCTAACCCACAATACCGTCGTAAAGAAATCGGCTTTTTAACTTTATTGTCTTATTAACAACTGAGTTTAATATATAAACTAGCTGTGAATATGTACAACGCTTGTAGCTGTTGTTCTTTTGTTTGGTACATTTAGACGTTTAAATATCTGCTGTTTGTCACGTTTTTTGACCGAAATTAGCTCATCAGTAACGCAAAGGGTTCTGAAGCTTAACTGTGCAAGCGTCTGCAATAATACGTGTTGGCATAGAAGAGTGTGACCATTTTTTGGTTGAAGAATGAGTTTGGGAAAAAATACAGCATATGGTGCTGTAAATAGGTGGTGATCTTTACTGGCTGTGATCTTTACTGTGTATTGTCTCTGATTTCATGCACACAGGGAAATGGACAAGAATGAAGACGTTATCAGAACTAACTGCACTAAAACGCTGCTTGTCCGCCACTTACCAGCGGAGCTCAGCAAGGAAGAGAAAGAGGACCTGTTAAAATATTTTGGAGCCGAGTCAGTCCGGGTCTTCTCCAACTGGGGCCGTTTAGTAAGTTCCCCTTCAGCAATACCTTTTAAAATCAGTCAATTAATTCAATTTAAGTTGCTGTCCAGCCTGAGTAAATCTGTCCTTCTCCACAGAAACATGCAGCCTTTGCAACCTTCAAAAGTGAGAAGTTGGCAACAAAGGTGAGTGTTTTGTTTTTCACTCGTTTTGGATCAAATATACTCTAATTTCTCAATAAGATCTGTTTTAGGCACTCGGCAGGCTCCACCAGTTAGAGATTCTAGGCCAGACACTCGTTGTGGAGTTTGCAAAAGGCCAAGATAATGCCACAGTTTTAAAGGACCCACCAGTGTCGGACAGGTAAGATGGCAGAATAAATCCACAAAACACTTTTTGCTGCTCTCGATGTACTTCGACTACTCTTTCCCATTTGTGTAAGACGGAGGAAGATACTCTCCTTTTGTGTGGTGGTGGAAAGCTCTCTCCTCTTTTTTTTTTTTTGTCTGCAGTGATAAACGTGTCAAAGAAGAGCGGAAAAAACAGGAGAGCAAACAGCTAAATATCCCCCTCATAGAGACCAGCGTTGCACCTAATCTTGGGTAAGGACAGAGGCTTTCATTATTTGATATTCATTATTGTGCATTAAAATGTGATAATATCAATTTCTGCAAAAACAACGACCAAGTAAAGCTGCTTTAGATGGTTCATCATGCATCAGCGACGCTTATTCTTCAGATGTGGTTGAAGTTGTCATTTTGGCTGTGTGGAAGCTGTCTTGGAAGCAGGCTGACAGTAAAGCTGGATGAGATTCTGAGAGCTGTATTTTGGAGCTGACAGTTTCCAATTAGATAGTCAGGCTGTCTTTGCCTGCCTGACAGGCCGTCTGTCTTTCAAGTTGGTAGGTCCAGGTGGTCTTTGATACCTTTCGCCCTCTGTACTGCTCTGTTGTCTTGTGGTCTGTCTTCTTAATGGCTCAACTGAGATTTTCTTTGAATAGGCATAACATTGATGGCCAAATCATGTGATATGCTGGATCTGACAGAGAGGCTGAGATGTCAGGACTTGGAAATATTTTGGGGTTCTGAACAATGACCCTTGTTTTTTTTTCTTTTTTCTTTTTCTTTTAACAGTATACTGTTAACCCTAACCCAGTTTTCTTTTTAATATTCAGAAAGACATTCCTTCAGTACTCTGTTGAATGTAATCTAATTGTTGTATTATTATTATGCTATCATTGTTATTGCAATATTTAATATGTAATCATTAATTATTATTACTATTATTATAAGTAGTAGTAGTAATAATAATGATATTAATGTTTTTAGTACTTTACTAGATTCAGTTAAAGAATGAAAGAAAAACAGTTTGAATACTGTCTTTTAGGGTGCTTTCCTCTTTGTAGCGATGGATGAAAAATAATCAAGCATAGTTTTGGATTGAATATCTTTATTCCCTCTTGACGCATGGTGTCTTTTCTATCAGATGCCTTACAGGAGACATTGGACTTCTACTCTGTTTTCTGAGAAAATAAACTATTAGACTGGACCCCTGACCAGTTTAAGTGACCACAGATCATCACAAAACCCCCTCAGGACTTTGCTTACTCCGCTGTTCAGTGTTAAACAGTGTGAACCTGGACCGTTTTGTTTTCTATAAATTAGCTCCCAATACCCATTTTTTTCTGAGTTTAAACACCTCTACCTTCAACATCCAGACATTTACCCTCCATGCTGATGCACTCATTTAAAGATTCAAAGTCGGTTTGCAACACACACAAATCTTATGGGATGTTTTTGTGTCTAAAGCAGGGAGGAGCAGCTTCACTTTTTGATTAAAAAAACAACAACCTTTTCTCTGATTTCTTTAGGTTGAAATTTCAATCAAATCCCACCCTGAAATATTTATACCCACCACCTTCCAGTGGCGTTCTGACCAACATAATTCACGCCCTCCTGAGTGTGCCGAAGTTTTACGTCCAAGTGAGTAAACGCCACCTGTGTATCGCTTTTTCTAATACAAAAGGATCTTTATTTTGGGATGTTTTTTTATTCTTTTCATACATTCTTTTAGTTTAACAAAATCTATATGGCTGTTCAACATTCACATTCATATCATAGAATAAAATCATGGATCTGGAATAAGTGTCCCTGAGGTCCCTGAACTTAATCCAAGCTCTTAAAATATCAAACAGCAAACAGTTGCCTTCTTAAATTTCGATTTGGGCAGTATTAACAATAAACCATGAGTGGGAGGCATGAGTTATTGGTTTACCATTTCCCCGGGAGCTGTTCTGTCTGGGTTTTTTTCACTTCCTCTGCTGGCATCTTGGTGGAGCTAGTGTGCTATATATATATATAAGCCGGGTTATATGCTGCAGCACAGATATCTCCCTTCAGTCCCTGTCTCACCTTGATCCTTGTATTTGTATGCAAAAAGTCTGGCAATCTGCTCTACATATGGAGCCCGCCTGTTTGAGAGCAGCGGCGTGTTTATGTAAGCAGCCCCCTTCCAGCTTGTGGTATGGATCTCCGGCAACTGTCACAGCTCTCACGCTTGCATTTCAAATTATTCAGGTACTTCATCTGATGAACAAGATGAACCTGCCATGTCCTTTCGGCCCCATTACAGCCAGACCGCCCATGGTAAGCCTTTGATGACATCACTGCTGCGTATGGCAGTGATCTGAATGATGGTTGAAGTCACACCAGAGCAGAAAAAAAAATGTAGACAAGCTGTGGATATGTATACACAAAAAATTGTTTTTATATGTTTATGATACTCTAAAATCTTAATTTCTTTCTAATCTGTTGCAGTTAAGTATGTGAGACACAAACTGTACAAAAAATATCTTGGACCACCCCCATATTTCTTTTTCATTTTAAAATGGTCCTAAGCAAGTTCTCCAGGCTTTTTGATTTTTGTGAGTACCTGCTTGAATTCAGAGGAATGTATTGTTTTGCTTTTTAAATACTGATATATGAACTATTTAAGTATGAAGAAGATGGCTAACTCAATGGCGAAGCCAGTTTTTTGCAGAGACAATGGTTATTTATAAAGAGATATTAGCCAAAGACATCGAATATATCAGCATTGTCTTCAGTTTGTTCTGTGGTGGAATAATAACTGAAAACGCTGTCTATAGGCCATAGGCTGAAGCTCAAAATGTGGCTAGAAATAGGATTTCGCTCCACTATCCTGGGGACTACTTTTCGATAGCACTTTTCCAATCTTGAATATGTACTGGAGCTGGGAAAAAAAGTTCTCCATGGGATTCCTGCCAGTATTTGAGAAAATGGGTGCCAAAGGTGGCAGTGTACCCAAAAAAGTGACGATTTTGGGTCTTCTATCATTTTCAAACCCTTGTAACTTTTTTATTATTAAGCCGATCGTACTCAAATATTTAATTCCCACAGACATTCATACTTACTCTGAGCTTCTAAAGCGGCAATGTTCTGCGTGGTTTAAGTACGGAGTTATTCTAAATGAAAACATACACTTTTGAACAACTTCACAATCTCCCAAAATGTATCTTTATTGCACATGAAAATTGCAATTCTTTGAATTTTCAATTGAAAAATTCTAATAGCAAGATATCCCTTTGTGTCTGGTTAACTAATAACTATGAAAAGTGGTGTGAATTTTATCACCTAGCAAACCAGTTACAATATAGGCCATAGGCTGAAGCTCAAAATGTGGCTAGAAATAGGATTTCGCTCCACTATCCTGGGGACTACTTTTGATAGCACTTTTCCAATCTTGAATATGTACTGGAGCTGGGAAAAAAAGTTCTCCATGGGATTCCTGCCAGTATTTGAGAAAATGGGTGCCAAAGGTGGCAGTTTACCCAAAAAAGTGACGATTTTGGGTCTTCTACCATTTTCAAACCCTTGTAACTTTTTTATTATTAATGCGATTGTACTCAAATTTTTGATTCCCACAGACATTCATACTTACTCAGAGCTTCTAAAGCGGCAATGTTCTGCGTGCTTTAAGTAAGAAGTTATTCTAAATGAAAACATACACTTTTTAACAATTTCACAATTTCCCAAAATATATATTTATTGCACATGAAAACTGCAATTCTTTGAATTTTAAATTGCAAAACTCTAATAGAAATATATCCCTTTGTGTCTGGTTAATTAATAACTATTTAAAGTGGTGTGAATTTTATCACCTAGCAGACCAGTTACAATATTGGAAGCAAAATTTTCGGAAATAACAATAAAAACTAGAAGAATCTTCAAGTAAATTTATACTGTTTATTCAATGGATCTGATATCAACTTAAGCAATCATGGAATTAATGAAAAAATAATAACACAAATAATAGTAACAATCCCCCCCCCCACCACCACCACCACTCCATTCCCACACCGACAAGAGTTACTTCTTCTGTTTGTTGCAACATTTATGAATATTTACAGAGAGAATTAATCATCTTCAGAAAAACTGAAAGAGAATAAGAAGCTTACATATCATTTTTCAATTACTTTTGAACAATTCTACCAAGCACTAAGCATGCCAAAGTTGATATCTCCCAAATTTTATACATGTACATATATAATTATAAAGACCGATTCTAACCATTTATAAATCTCCACTCAGTAACTATTGACAAATGGCAATAGCAATGATAACATGATTTTTTAAAAGGGGTAAAGTTTTCAGATGCCTCATAACAATAGGAAGAATAATAATCATAATTATTGATTATTTATGAGAACAATGGAAAGTATTAATATCACAACATTAAAAAATGAACTCTTATTTATAAGCTACAAGATTGTTTTTTTCACATTTACTACAAAATTTAGTTCACTATGGACAAATGTTCAAATTGGTTTTCAGAAATGAAATGGTTTCAATCAGCTAACCCGAGGGTTGTGAATTCACTCCTCTGAGGCAAGACTTAATATGGAAATGTGCAGGGAATTAAAGAAGGCACAAAGACATTTCTGTTTTTAAACAATTACTTTTGTTGGACCCAGCAAGCCTTGAGATGTTAAACTTTTTAGGATCACTTCGGGTTGTTACGACTTGAGAATTACAATAGAAAACACAAAGAAACTGTGAATCATCAAAATCATAGGAGGGATAGGAGTCTCCTCCTATCACTTCCTGCAGGTGTTCCTAGAGCTGTGGAGTCTGGATCTGTGATTGGGAGTTTCCTGCTGCCCCGTGTTCCTGCTCTGCTAATACTCTGCATAGTGTTATTTCTGTCACAACTCCTATCATTATCATTGGTATCAATATACATTAGGGTTGTCACGATACTAAAATTTTCAACTCGATACCGATACTCAGGAAAATACTCGATACTCTATACCATTTTCGATACCACAAGGATAAAAACAAACACCCCAAAATTTAACTGAATTTTGACAGTTTAGTGTCTTTCATTTCAAACTGACCTGTTACTGATGTTATCGTGGCTGGTGGCCCGAATTAATTACCCTAATCCTGACCCTAACCCTAATCCTAACCCTGACCCTAACCCTGACCCTCCAGCCTTCATAATTGTGAGAAACAATTTTTGGGTTAAACATGTTTGGACTTATTGTACAAACTTATTTAACATCCACTATTTTGACATAATGTTATGGATAGAGTTTAATTAAGTGTTTGAAAGACTAATTTCACTATTAAATTAATGTCTATATTGCCATGAGGCATTAATATATTCTTGCCTGGGATTTTCCTTTTGGTGACGTAATCAAAATGGCCGATTTGGATGTGGGCTGAGACGGATATGTATCCTACTTGATTAATGGTAGCATGTTATTATTAGCCATTAGCCGCAGCTAGCAGTTCAAGGCTAACGTCACGTTAATGATCATAAACAACGTAAAAAAATACATAAATAAATCTGAGAGAAGGGGCGCAGCGACGGCAGGTCAGCGTCGCGCACGCGCGCTTGTGCGGGCTCGCGCGGACTCGCGCGGGCTCGCGCGGTGGTATCGATACTTTTGAAAATGAGTATCGTATCCGGATACAAAATTTTAGTATCGATACTTTTTTAAGTATCGATACTTTTGACAACCCTAATATACATAAAATTGAATTGAATTGAACTTTCTTTGTAGCACCGTTTGTGGTACCGGACTTCAATTGCGACACAATCTTTTCCACGTACATCCTTGAGGATGGATTCGTCCATTTTCACTTCAGCTGCTTTAACCAAACTCCCTAGCAAAGAGAGAGTTAAAGTTCAATCATAAACCAGCTGCCACAAAATAATATCAAATACATTTTCTCTGTTTTACCAGACTGAACTGATAGTTGGGTGACAAATTTAAAATCTAACCATTATTTGACAAATCAATTAATTGCCTATCATCACTTCAAGTTCATAATAATGCCTTTTATTATTATTGAGGCCCTACACATAGCCTTCATACACCTACTTCATAATGATGTGAGCAGGCTAGGGCTGGCACCAATTACACATGCATTTTTTTTTTACCAACAAATGTATTACTTTAGCTTTTGATTATTAGCCCCAAACAAAGATGCTGTCTGCAAATTATCTAATCACCAGTATTTATAGTTTCTGCTTGGACCAATTTACCTTTCTTTGTCTTGTGTCCCTCCGCCAACGTGCGGTCAATTCCGTCAATACACTTACGGGCACATACGACCAGCTTCTTCCACGAACAACTGTTAGTGGCTGTGTCCGTTCTTTGTCTACCGATTATATGTGTGTGATGCATATATAATCCTCATTTTACTTGCGTCTTTTGTCTGATCAACGGGAATACGCTGCTCCACGGGAGCAGCCATGTTTGTTGTTGTTCTTCTGTTCTCGCCTCTGAATGGGAGAGCGCACCTGAAGGACGCGCTCTGATTGGCTAACGGCTAGGCGGCTTGATTCGAGCGTACTTTACCGGTGTGATCAGGCTACCGATATAGTTACATTTTTAAGTAATTATTGTAAAAATACTGGCGCAAAGCGATTGGAGAACTTTTGGTTATGAGCTCAAAATGCACTAAGGTTTTTTTTGCAGGTGTCAGTTAGTAGTCCCTCAATAAGTGGAGCGAAACTTAACGATACAGGCTTCAGCCTATGGCCTACTATAAGAAGCAGGTAAGAAATCTAAGATCAAAAATCATACACGTGTCCTGAGAGGTGCGTCTGGTCCTTCAGTTGAATAATGTACTGCCCAAAAAACATGGAGAACTATTTCTAAAGACTACATAAAGAAATGACAAGGTGGCCAGCCTTTGAGGGCTTGGGATCTATTTGAAAATAAAGGTGCATACTGAACACTGACACCCAGCATTATAAACTATATCTTCTCTTGTGTTTGCATACTAATCAGTAAACATTACAAATTCCCTCTTTTACTGGCCTTGTATAAAGAGATGAGGCCTCAGGACCTTTGCATCATGATACGTTTTGATAATTCTATTATAATACCTGAGCAAATTATTTTTTGTATTGTAGTTATTTTGCTGTTATATTTGGCAGAAAAACAAAACTAACATGAAGCAGCATATGATAAGTCATGGTTATACACCCACAGAGGCCATAAAATAAAGTACCTTTTTGTTTCCTACAGTTTGAGCATCCTCATCCTGCTCCCCACTTCCCCATGCCCCCACCTTTCCCTCCCAACTATCCTCCTTTACCCGAAGAGGAGATGGATTTGTCTAGTGAGGAAGAGTCAGAGTATGAGAGTGGAGATGAAGACAAAGAAAGGTGAGGAGCACGCGTTTTTAGACAGTGACCTTCGTGATTCAGCATTGAAAACTGATCACTCAACAAAAACTGATTACAAATGTTTTCAGATGGGAAAATATTGTTTTTGTTTAAACTGCAGACTTTTCTTCTTCTCTCCCCCCCCCCCCCCCCGTTGCTTCATTTCAGGATTGTTCGTCTGATGGGCCTGGTCAACCAAGCATGCAAGAGACCCCTGAGGCCAAAAACCTCCTCTAAAAGAAAGAAGCCCAAGATCAAGGATTTGCTCTATGCTCCCAAACCAGACACTCAGGGGTACACCTAAAGCACTCATGCATGTTACAGTCACCACTCATAATTCATCCAGAGGCTGTTACCCGTTTGCAGGTGAACAGACGACAACAATCTTAAGACAATAAGTCTCTCTCATATAGACGATGGGCCTCGTGTGGCTCAGAAAACTTCTTGTTTTACACACTCGGCCCCTCAACAGCAGACCACAAACAATGTTTTCGAAGCTGTAATCGTATATACAAAGCATTTCCTGGCAATATGTGTGCATGCAAACTGGGAAATATCCCAGTTGGTAAAAAATAATGAAATATATTAATAAAATCCTCACAGGAGCCCAGTTTATTGTAAGCTCATTTTTTTAGGCTGTTGTTAAAGGGGAGCGGCGTTTTGTCTCCTCTCTCTCTCTCAGCAGTGCTCCAGTGCTACAGCCCTCCGACGTGTTTGAGCAACAGAGCCCCGCTGGTCCAAGGAAAATTGAATTCAACATTTCAGTTCCCGAGGTGGGTGATGCTGTGGAAGGAAGCAGCCCTGGTCAGCAGCCTAATGAGGAAGGCAAAGGTAAAGGCTTAGCTCCCATTTGTTTGTCCACTGTCTTGTAATATGTTTATATTCTTAGTGTTCTAAAGTTCCTAGCGGATCATTGCGTGATATATTTAGATATATTTTTTATTTGTCTACCGAAGTTGGAGAGCATTTAAGCTGTTCTTTTGCCATCCTCTTTAACAATTGTACATCCCTTTAGATGATTATAGAAATCATTGAGACAAGAGGATGGTGCTGAAGGGTAACACTATGGAAATGACAAAGAGGGGAATTGTAAATATCAATTCATACTTGAGCAGTTTTTGTATATATGTACACATATACACTCAAGAGCCAGTTTATTAGGTCACCTTGTTCATAGAATGTGGGACTCTCTTTTGCCCTCAGAATGAATTCCATCTTCATGGCATACTTTCAGCAAGGTGTTGGAAACATTACACAGAGATTTTGGTCCATGATAGCATCACGCAGTAGCTGCAGTTGCATCCCATTTCATCACATTCCAAAAGTGCTCTGTTGTATTTAGAGCTGGAGACTGTGAATGCAAATGGAGTACAGTGAACATGTTCAAGAAACCAGTTTGAGATGATATGAGCTTTGCAACACAGTGCATTATCCTGCTGGAAGTACAAATCAAAGGTCATATGGTCATAAAGGGATGGGCATGGTCAGCAAGCCTGCCAAGAAAATATCTCTCTCTCACCCTCACACCACCAGTTCCAGCCTGAAATGTTGATACATGCGTTGATAATACAGGTTTGACCCTTGGTTTAATCACAGCTTAGTTTAGTCACAGCTGAAATCAAGACTTAGACCAAAAATATTTTTTTCCAGTCTTCTGTTGTCCAATTTAGGCAAGCCTGTGAGAACCTGTTCTTAGCTTACAGGAGTGGCACATGGTCTAGTCAATTTGATGTGTTCAGTAATGGTGTTCTGCTTTACTCAGTTGTAAAGAGTGTTTTTTAAGTTATCGCCTTTTTGTCATCTAGAACCAGTCTTCTCATTCCAATCTGACCTGTCCCATCAACAAGGCCTTTTTGTGCACAGAAATCCCACTGACTGCATATTTTCTCTTTTTCGGTCCATTCTCTGTTACCCCCAGAGATGGTTGTGTTGAAAATCCCGGTAGATCAGCAGTTTTCTGAATCACTCAGACCTGTCTTGCACCAACAGCCATGCTATGTTCTGTCACTTTAATCACCTTTCTTGTTCATTCTCATGCCTGGTATGAACTTCAGTAAGTTGTCGTGACCACCTCTACGTGCTTAAACATGTTAAGCTGCAGCTGTGTAATTGGCTTATTACCTTTTTTGTGTTAACAAGCAACTGAGCAAGTGTTCCTAATTCTTTCCATAATGAATATGTATATTGTTTTATTTCTATGCAACTAATACCGAACAATCTTCCCATATTTAAAAACGCAAGTAAGCTTCTGTTCATATTGGTCTTTTCTGCCATTATTTTTCTTGCTGTGTTAAACATTGTTGAAAAGGGCTAGTTTATTTGATCTGAGACAATCTGAGTCTTCCACTTATAACTTTTCTCATCTTGTTAGATGAATCAATCCGCTTTGAGCTTAACACAAGGAAATCTTTCATAGGGTGATAACATTTTGCGGAAATCTGTACCAACAAAAACCAACGTGATTCGAAAAAAAAATCCTCACCTCTCCTCGTCTGTATGGCAATTCAGTTTCAGCGTTATCGCTTTGGCCATAAGAAAATTCTTTCAAGCTAAAGGATGCTGTTGTAAACAAATTGTCTCTGAATAGAATCCCCTGATTGCTAAATATTAATATAGGATCAAAAAGAGAGCTCAGATATGGTTCTGTGGTTGATTTGGCTCAGATTTATTTTTTGAAGGATTTTTTTACTGCTTTTAATTGGGGCAGCAAAAAAAAAAACAGGGAGGAGAAAAGCTTTGACAGCACTTTTAGTTATCTATTTGTCGATGACACAACCAGTTAAATTCCTCTGACGTGTTCAAATGGCTGCAAAAGGGAAAGTGACAATGAATTTTGTTGGCAAGAAATGATGGTTAACAATATCACTGATGATATTAGGCATTTCTGTTGTTTTATCAAATGGATTTTAGCACACAAGAATGCAACTTCAGCATGTGGATAAATATATATGAATAAATTGATGCAGAGATATATATGTACATAGAAAGTAATTATTGGATTAGAAAAAATAACTGATTTACGCTGAGTCTGAAATCAGCCATCGTGTATGAAAAAGGCTCCAAAAATAGAATACACTCCCTGTTGTTTTACTTTTCTCTTCTCCTCCTCTTAAGTCTCTTCGTACAGGAGAGGATGTTTTGGATTCAGATCAACTTGTTTCTACCCATACTCAACACAACCTGCATGCTTCCCTCCCAAAGAATGCTTTCTTTCTAAAGCCAAAACACCTCTTTGTGCCGCCATGTTTACTTGTTTACCCGCTCACCTGAGCTTGCCTGCTCTCTGCAGGGGTGGAGGCTCAGTTTGCCATAAATGTGTGATATGAAAACAATAGATTCTCTATTGGTGCCTAAAAATCCACTGGCGTTAGAAGGGGATTCTTTCCACCAAGCTAACTAGTCCGCTTCCAGTGGATTATTAGAAACAGCACTTAACCATCCTTGCTTCTCTCTCCTTCTCATTTCATATCAGAAATAGATATTGTTGATGACCTATCATCAGTCTATGAAAATCAAGCAATTCATTAAATGAACCAAAACCCCATTCTTAGGGTGATATTGGTTATCCCAATCAAAATAAGTTTTTTTTTTTTTTCAAGTTTATGCTTTTTATGCTTTTGATGCTGTTTTTTTGAAAGAAATACTTCCCACTTTAATTATACGTGAGAAGATTTTCATCTGGTACAATTATGTTTGAAAGAACTACATTGGATTGGAGAAAAAATGTAATGCTTGGGCTGCATCAGTCATAGCGGCACTTGGACTCTCCTTAGTGCTGGAAAAATTCTGTACATCTTGTTTATTATCACACTGAAGCAGACGGTGGTTTGTCGCTCGCGATGGCACTAGTTCAAGACCTCGCTGGGGGTGAGGTCAGAGTCAAGTGTTACATGGCGGTGTATCACAGCAGTAGCTCGCTCCAGATAGCTTTTCAGCCACTATCTGTATGAGCAAATGTCAGTGAGGGCACGGCCTGTTCCTTGTCAGCTGTGTGGTTCCCTGCTCACCTTATCTTCCTTCTCTCTAGCCACAACTTCACTTCCTGCCAAGTCCCTGAGAAGTAAAATAGATCTCAACGTCGAGCACAAAAGATTTCCTGAAGGCAGAGGAAAGATAAACTATGACAGGTGGCTTTCTGGATTAGTCTTGTTTTGGGGAATAGGGACCGAACGCGATCCGATAAGCAGGATATTTAAATAAAAAAAGGGGAGGTGGGCGACAGATAAGGAAGACTATTTTGAAAGCTGTGATCTAGTTCTCTGCAAAGTGTATCAGAAAAGCTCCCTGACTCTCCGGTCACGAGCACACACACTTTATGTGGATAACAAGCTTAATTTTTTTCCTCTGGGATTTGTACAGGTTCATTGCTCTCAGGAATTTAATCTGCAATGTGTGTGTGTTCACTTCTTCAAAAGAATTCCCGCTTCTTTCAAAGTCATGTTTGAGAACGAATGGATTTTGATCTCAGCTGTTTATTTTACACAGGCCAAATGTGGTATCCCGAAGAAGTATTCTAGTTTCAACTACAGTTTTTTTTGTTTTTGCAGGAAATATTTTTTTCAGGTGACTTAGACCACACAGATGACAAATTTCCTATGTCAAAATGGGACTTAATTGTTCCCCGAGCAATTTGTCCTGAGAGCTTTTATCAATTAAGATGCTTTAATCTAATGAAGTGTTTTTTTGTTTGTTTTTTAAATCGCAAGCCTCTGTCCAATCCCTGACCTCAGCCGACGAAGAACGTGCCGACACTCAGGCCAAGGCGGTGGTAGCTGAAGGGTTTGGGAAGCTTTACCCCAGCATGCAGACATCTGAGCAGCAGGAGGAGTGCAGCGACAACGAGCTGGATCTCCCATCAGACGTCATCTCCAGGAAGGAGTTGGAGAAGGGACGGCTGTCCAGAGATGGTAAATGTGACCCACCTCACCTTAACTCAGAAAGGATAATTTAGCAAATGGATGCTGTACGTGAAGAAAGAACATAAAACATTCGAGGATTGAGTTATCAGGCCTGTGCGGGTTCCAAATGACAACATGAAGATAGATACTTCTTTTTTAGAGCTGTACATCTGTCTATAGGTGACACGCACACACAAACCTATAAATGCAAATTAGCAATGTTAGAAGTAGGGAAAATGCTGAAATGCACATTACAATAAATAGGACTATAGTTCAGTGGCATCACAGGCAAAGAAAAGAAGGGAATAAAGTGGAAAAAATCTAATTTAATGATTTGAAACTACTTAATATCTCATTTGAGAGAGATTGGTGAATGGTGAGAGGGGGTGGAGGTTATGGTAAATATTTCACATCTGTGCATATGATGGTTCAGTCAGTCCTCTAAATTCACAGAGTTTAAGGCAAAGGTTGAGGCAAAAACAGGAAAAAGCATATAATGGCCTCCTTTTTAATTTGCGGGTAAAATAAACGAAAACAAAAGATAATTAACAACACCAAACTCCTGCTATCATTTAGTTTTTGAATGGACATTTAGTTCTGTCTTTAATGGCTCTGCAGCAGCTAACCCGTCGGGACGAAGCGGTTTGCGGTTTTATGACATACCGGGACATACGTTTCTTAACGTTGTTATTCCCTCATTCAATTTTGAATCAGTTGTGTGATTCTTTCTAGTGTTTTTAAATTTCTCTCTCATCACTTTTTTCTATTTGTAATCTTTTTTTTCAACAGAGATAAAAAGGATGTCTGTATTTAAAAATTATGATGCGGGTGAGCCGACTTGCAGGCTGTACGTAAAAAACATCGCAAAGCAGACGGAAGAGAAGGTGGGTCCATTTCGAGGGCTTTAACTCAGAATGTTGAGGTAGAATTTTTAAAATAAAATGTGTAGAAAAATTGACTCATAAGTTAATTGAATTTGGCTTATTTTCAATAAATGTCTTTCAGGACCTGAAGTACATCTACGGGAGATACATTAATCCTTCCTCAGAAACTGAGAGGAACATGTGCGTAACCAAAAATCAGTTTCTTCTTTGCACGACTTTGTGAGCCACTGTGCCCCATATCCTTGCCCAAATCACTCAGGCTAGCCTACAAAGTGATCTCTGGGTCTGCCCCCACCTCAGTACTCTCATATAGACTAGGTTTACTCTGGGAAAGCTCTTACAAGCTTGTAACTTGTCTTTTCCATTTCTGTCTTTTTCATTTCTTGTTCCCGCAATGATCCACTTTGTTTTGTTCCCTCAGGTTTGACATCGTGCTAATGAAGGAGGGCCGCATGAAAGGACAGGCCTTCGTGGGACTGCCCAACGAGCAGAGTGCAGAGAAAGCACTGCGGGAAACCAATGGCTTCGTTCTTTACGACAAACCCCTGATCGTCGTATCCTTTTTCTTTCCTTTACCCTGACCATCGTTTTTGCAGGCTGAATTGAAGACCTTGTAAATACAGGCTGTGTTTAGAGGCTCATAAGACAGTATGTTTTTAGTGATTTATTTTTTAACAGAGAAAGAAGTACCATTTTTTGTGATCACTGAGTCTAAAGCTTTAAACTAAAGTGGAACAAAGGTAAAAAGAAAAGCATAAATTCATGGGCAAACAATCAGGCCGGGTATTTAAACATACCTTAAAGACCAAACATGAACTTTGGTTTATTAAGCAGATGTCCACAGATGCGCTATTGGCTTTGGCCTTAGGTGCTTTCAGATGGATGGGGACGAATCCCTGTCATCACTGAGCAGCCACCTGCTCTTCCTCCTCTGCACAAATAATTGTGCATAAGCTTTTAAACTTGTCGAACACAACAAGGCTGTTGATTTTTGATGGTGTTTTAATCTGCATTGCATAGCTGGTCACCTCGAAGAGTGAACCAAGACGTCTATAGTTGTCCCAGTGAATAACCCATTAGATATATTTCTCCCTCCCTTTCCAGCAGCCCACCCGTTCTATACTCGATTCTGTCGAAGCTGGCGATAGTAGATCTCATGATGGAAACTTTATTGTGAAAAAAAAACGGTATGTGAGCAGGTATGTGTTTAAAACAGATGCTGACAAGCATTTCTCCAGGACAAAGAGGAATCTGTGATTTGCAAAGCTGCCATAGAGCGAGCGAGGCTACCTGTCATGTTTGGCCGAAGGGAATTTCATCAGGAGACGGCTGCAACTCCCAAATTCGAGCGAGGAAGATCTCCAGAAAAGAAACCGATCTCCTGTGTGATCTAAACCCCTGGAATCTCCCAAGATTAAAACCAAAATGAGCTCCTCTGTCATAAATTTAAAAAGAAAAAAAAAGGTTTGGTATTTACGCATCAGAGATGTATGCAGACACAGACCTTAACTTAAAATCCACAGCAATTTGCACGGTCTGCAAGGCCGAAACAAGAGAACACCGATGCAAAGAAAGGGCAGAAGCAGCGTTGAGCTCGGCCGGTGAGTCGGGCTATAAAACTGTCCAGCTCTTTTTTTAAAGGAGCACATTAACAATCTGAGCCACGTCTCATTATTTCATGGTGAATCTGTCTGTGCAGCACCAAACATCTTCCCTTTGTAATGGTGTTTTCTTTCCACTACACTTTTATCTACTCAAGATGCCAAGACTTGATATTGTGGCCCCTGCAGAACCATTTGTATCCTTGCACTGACATATCCTTTGGGGAAAAATAAAACACTCTTAAAGATGGCAGATGCAGATTTTAGACTTTTGTACAGACTTGAAACTCTTTTAGCTCTTTGTGTCTAAATGTAAAAGTACAAACATCCGCTTTGTTTTAAAGAGCGTCTTGCGTACTCTCTTTCAGCTTTCTTTGGTGCATCTTGTGCTATTTCTGTTCACACTGATCTTTTCCCTTTTTCGACTGAATTTCAGGTGGTGGACATCAGAAGCGGTTCTCTTCTATTATTATTGTTTTGAATAAAAAATATTTTTGTCTCAGTATCTGTTGTCCACCTCCGTTTGTGAATGCAGACCCAATGCGTCTTTTGTGTCAAACTTGCCGTGCTGTCAGCGGAGTGAATGCAAGCAGGGTGAGGTGTGAGATCAGGAATGGCAATGCACTAGATGGCTGGCTGTCAAAACAGCATGGATGGGGTGGGGGGGGTTGGCTGTCCTGAAGAGACTGCAAACAAACAAAAGACAACAGAATATGACTGCTTTATTACGATTGACTTTGCCGTCCCTTACTGGCCAAAATGCTTCGTGTTTTAGACACAAGCTTCACTTGAAACCAACTGGGGTTAGAACTGGAGTTTTTAGTTCATCTATTATTTATTTGTGTGTTGTGTGTGTGTGTGTGTGTGTGTGTGTTCAAATACATATATTGTACATGTTAATACGTATAGTGAATTAATACATATGTCATACCTCTGGGAATAACTGGATATGAGGACAGTTCAAAACAAAGATCGAGATCACTTAAACATTTCCAAAGATTTTTTGGAACATATACATATATTTTTAGCTTTGTTTTTCTTGAATGTATCTTTCCCCTTGTGTTTTCCAGAAATTAATAGAAAGGTAAGCTCTTTTAGACCAAGCAATAAGAAACTTGTATAATCCTGGATACCAAGAGTGGGGCAACCTTTACCAACAGGTCCACACTATCTGCCATTTGGTGCCAAATTTCACTACACTGTTGAATCAGCAATAACACTTTAATATTTACAGTTGATTTGGATATTCTCCAGATGAGAACAACACCACATTTCAATGTCCATGACTAGTAATTCATAGTCAAAATGTGCCCACCATGTCCACTCTTGTACAAATACAGTATACATGTCAGTGCTGTTTTTGTGTAACGTGCCCTGTAACGTCCATCCCTGCTCAGCCCGTGAGCTCTGCCTCTCTATGGCTAAAACCCAGGCGCTTAGAATTATCAATCACATGTGCTTGTCTGGTTCAACCTGCAGCTCGTACGTCAACGCCAGCATGAGGAAGGAGTTCCCATCTGTGCCCCACACTGCCCGCCATCTCAACGATGACAAATGTGCCACCCGCAGTGGAAATATTAAGACTTACAGGACATTTATCAGGTTACATTTGAGCAATATGAAAGATAACCTTTTGTAAGTGGACACAGATAAAGATGTATGTTCGGCCTTTACACTGCACAGGCTTCATTTCAGTTTAATACTGCAACTACCCAGAAGTAATATTGTGATAATGTCTTACATGTGTTTTGGGCTCAGCCAGGTGTGCAGTCTGTTTGCTAGAGGGACTCAGGCATTCAGATTGCCAGGTACACGTGCCTGGTTTTAGACAAGAGGTATTGCAGGATGGGGGTTGGATGCCTGCAAGCGTCTAAGGTCTGTATGTCTGAATTAATCAACTTTAAACCTTGGGTTCACACTGCCTGTTCCATGCACAAACTGAGTGGCATGTTTCCTCAAAATCCTGTTAAAATGTTTTTTTTTTAAGAAAAAGGAGTTTGAAGTTTGCACAATATGAACAGGCCTCGGGCAATAAGATATTTCCAACTAAAAAATATTTGTTTGACTTAATTCAAGTGGGATTCTTGTGGTTTTGTCAAAGTTTCTTGAGCAGCGCAACTTTATCGTTTTATTCCACCTGAATTTGAATGCTCCTATAAGTTACTGAAAATAACTGCTACGGCAGGTAGCCCACTTTCACAGCCCGGCAGAGTTTCCACAAGCCTGTTAGAGGTGTTGCTTTGATTTAGCAAGGCACTGGTTTGTCTCATCGAGGAGTTTCAGATAGAATGCACACAGAGAAACTGAACTTTTAAATAAAAGGCAATGTTTAAGGCACAGACCCAGAACAACTGTGCTCGACAAGCACGTGCAACAGATATGTTTGAGTTGTCACTGCTAGACGCTGGGAAATAACACATGCCCCTTTAATCACAGATTTGCCAGATTATGCTACATAAACTAATATGCTTCCATGGAAATGACTAGGTGAAAGGAAACAGCTGTGAATTAGCTTGTCAGTGTATCATGGAGGCAAAAGCTTGCCAACATTCATTAACTCAGTTTCTTTTTACAACCAATTACTGGATGAAATAACATAGAGAGAAGTCTGGTTACTACCCAGTTTTATGAATTTGGCTTTTAAGGGTTAAACTCATCCATTTTTTCCAGGCAATATTTGTTGGGGTTAAGTTTAAAAAAGACTTAGGTAAGAATTGTGGGTTTTGCAAAACTGACCCAGAATCGATAGCTCACTTGTTTTTGGCCTCCCTCTGCTAGTCAACTCATTGGGCAAAGTCTTTGCTAAGTTTTTGTTTAATTCCTAGTCCCTCCATCATGTTCTGGGTCTTCCTCTGAGCATCTTTCTTGTGGGACGTGCCCGGAACACCTCACCAGGGAGGTGGCTAAGATGCATCCTAATCAGATGCCCAAGCCACCTCAACTGGCTCCTCAGCGTGGAGGAGCAGTGGCTATACTCTGAGCCCCTCCTGATGGCCGAGCTTTTAACCTTATCTATAAGGGAGAGCCCAGCCACCCTACGGAGTAAGCCCATTACAGCCGCTTGTATCTGCAATCTCGTTCTTTCGGTCACTACCAAAAGTTCATGACCATAGATGAGGGTGGGAACGTAGATCGACCAATAAATCTGTCTTCATCATGACAGACCGGCACAGTGCCCGCATTACTGCTGGCGCTGCGGCCATCTGCCGTTCCATCTCCCGCTTCCTACCCCCATTTGCGAACCATAACCCGAGGTACGTGAATTCCCCCACTTGGGGAAAGACATTCCCCCCAACCCGGAGAAGGCACTACTCTACCCTTTTTCCGGCAAGAGACCAAGGTCTCGCACTTGGAGGCACATATCCTCATCCCAGCCGCTTCACACGTGGCTGCAAACCACTCCAGTGAGAGCTATAGGTCACAACTTAATGAACCCAATAGGGCCACATCATCTGCAAAAACCAGAGATGCAATCCCAAGGCTACTCCTAGAAATTCTGTCCATAAAGGTTGTGAACAGAATTGGAGACAAAGGGCAACATTGGCGAAGGTTCTCTCCCTGGGCTGCAATCATATTGTGGTGGAGCAGTTTGAGTGTCCCAATGATCCCATGAACTATGTTGTCTGGGGCTTCAAGCCCCTGGTAGGGTCACTCAAGGCAAACAGGTGAGATGAGACGTGAGATGACGTCTGATCAGACGAAGAGCAGCCCAAAGACCCCTTATGATGAATTCCGTAAATTGACCAAGTGTACCACCTGGAGGTGGGGCCCGATTGCGAGCACCTGGTGGCCAGACTTTTACCCATTAAGCTCAGCCCGAAGAGGCCACATGAGTCCCCCCTCCAATGGGTGGGCCAGAGGGGTCTGGTGCAATGTGATACAGGCGGAGGCTGGAGACAGGCCTTGGACACACACACACACACACGCAAACACACACACACACACACACACCCGCACAACATATCGTTCCAAAACCTGTGAGGTAACTCATAGTATGTGGGTTGTTTCCAAATGCACAAATGTAACACAAATCAAAACTTTTATGAGTTTCACTTCTCAGAAAGAGTTAACTGTCTATTATTCTACAAAATGCTACTTTTTATTATCATAACATAACATAATTATTTAATTTCATTGGCACTTCCTGGATAACCATAATTGAGATATAGTCAAGGGAAATGGTTCTGATTGTTATTTCCATCATATACAGTGGTGTACAGCACATGGTGAAACAAAACAATGTTCCTGTGGGTCAAAGGTGCGACGTAGAACAACAGAACTACACAATTTAAACATAAAGCATTCGCAATAATGCAATACTGTTTACAATAGAATTCACGTGACAATAAACACAAAACAGTAAGTGAGGACATAGTGCGTTTCGCCCACTGCTATTGGGAGCAATGTCCTTTTCTGAATAAATGTAAACATTCTATTCAGCAGCATTTTTTGCATAAATGTGAACATGGCACACTTAATTTAGCAGAAATCTACTAATATCATCCAGTTGTAAGGACGTTATCAGTAGATGCTCAAACAGTTTGAGATTGTTTGCATGTGTGCATCTGTGTGTGTGAGTGTGTTCAGTCCACATACTGATGTGTGCATTTGTTCATGCCAGACTCTGGTTGTTCAGGAGTCTAACAGCTTGGTGGATGAGACTGTTGCACAGCTGGGATGTGAGGGCCCAAATACTTTGGTACCTTTTTTTCAGACGGTAGGAGGGTGATGGGTTTTGTGAGGTGTGTGTGTGTGTGTGTGTGTGTGGTCATCCGCTATGCTGGTTGCTTACTCGTGCCAAAAGGTTTTTGGCGATGAAACTCAAACCAGTATAAGGAACAATCTTTAAAAGCATTTGGTTATAATGACATAGATTTAAGCCATAGTGTTGATAGAAAACGTGCTGCTGGATGACATTAAAACTGACACACGATCTGAGTGACACCCGGAGTTCCCAGTGTCAATTAATGTAGAGCTTGTGAGCTGCAAAAGATTGCCTGGAGCTGCTAAGGGGCCTTTGACTGGTATGGGTCGCGGCTTCATTTGCATTTATATCTGAAGAAATGTGTGAATTTCTGTTCTGTTTCTTTGTCTTTAAAGTTTGAGGAAGTTTCTTTGGCACATATCACTCATGTAATTCTACCCCCAGTTTAACAATATATCAGCAGGATAAAATTTACTATAATCTCTCTTGCTTTGTATAGATCTCTGCTTATTCAGAAACGCTCCAGATTTCATGCCTTTCTTGTCTCCGGTTATAGCTAAATGCTTAATGCGCAGACAGAAAAAAAGTTGAAAAACAAAAATCAGTAAATATAGTGTTTGATAAAAATACAAAAGTACAAAATGAGTTTTTTTGTCAATGGATTACTTCGGTTAACAATGTAGAGATATACCGGCCCAATGTGTTTTTGTTTTTTTTTCTTTTTAATATGGGGATTTCCTGGGTATTGTAAGTG